TGTATCTTTTCTGCTCTTCCTGTGTTATTGCCAGTATTTCCTTCATGCCCTAGCCTGCCTCGGGGCCCTGACCACAAACACCATGCCTCTTTCTCCTCCTCTGAGTCAGTCCCTGAGGCTCAGAAATCTTTTGGCAGGCAAGTCTGCTACTGAGGAAGGACTGAAAGCAGCACAGCAGCTCTCCCACCTGCAACAGCAAAGCAGCAACAGGGACAGGCCAGCAAGACAGACCATTTTGCCAGAGCGGACTCTGGCAGCTTCTCTATATGTCCCTTGTTCATGCAGGCATGCGTTTCCTTGCTCCCACAAAAGATCAGAAGAGAAACCTTTCGCCAGTCACTATTATGCTTAGTATGGCAAAGCATTGTCTGGTATTTTCTGATGCTTTTGGGTGCCTGATTTGACATGTGAAACCTTAAAACTCTGTAACTGCCCATGACTTTAGGAAGAGTTGTAGGTACAGAGATCCCCTGAAAATCTGGTGCCAGACGGGTAGGTTTTTTTGAAACTTTTCAATTTCTCTGTTGCATTTCTTAAGCAGAAGTGACACCTAGTGGTGAGTAGAGGGCAGGTCAATGTCTGTCACACTTGTGCTTGGACCAGGCCACTAAAGGGTTTAGGAGCACAACCTGCTAATAAAATGAGAGGAACAAAATGCTAGATGCATTTTCTGAACGTGTGACTTTTGTGAGTTGGAGAGGCTTTCCTAGCCAAATGTGGTGCTGTGAAGCTAAGACCTTTTAGGGGTCCGTGACGCCTTTTTTTTTTTTCTTCCCCCCTGGTACTAAGCATCTAATTAGTCTGGGCCTTTGTGTTTGCGGAGTCCAGCTTAGCAACCATGCCATGGAAACCCATTTGCACATTTATTAAACATGGGGGCAGAAAGCAACCCAGTTGGGTTTCTGACTTTTTGAGCTAAAACAATTATTCATAGACAGTCTGTTGCCTTTTCCTTTATCTGGGAAGGGGAGGCTTTGGGAAGGAAATAATAGTTAGAAAAGCTCTTCCCTTTCCTTTCTGGCTTCTGTGTCTTGTCAAGTGGGACTTAAATAAGGCTTTTGTCAGTCTGTATTTGCTGTGCCTCTCTTTCCAGCACATCTTTTGTGGAACTCAATCCCAGTGCTGTGAGTGGATATGCAGCACTCATATCCCTCTTGTAGTTTTTGCTGAAAAAGTAGTCATGTTCAGTCTATTTTACTGAGCCCTGGCAATTGGGGAGTGCAGCAAAAACAGTGGCAAACAAAGAGAGAAAAGGAAAAAAGGGGAGTGTGTGTGAGATACATGCTAGGCAAAATAGGAGGCATCTTTCTTCCCCTTGAGGGTTTGGCAGTGAATGCATTTATTGGTGGGTAGGCTGTTCACAGCTTGGGGTTCTGTGGTCGAGTTGCATGTTCCTATGTTGCATTTTTGGGGGCTTGTTTTGTTTGAGAAACAGAAGTCAGAGCCAAAAGTGAGAAAGAGACTTCGTTTTTGTGATGAATTGCTTGACCAGCCCTAACAACTGCTAAGAGAGTAAAAACCAAAAAAACACCGCCTCCAACCACAAAGCCCCCTCCAAAACAAAGAAACCAGTGTCCTGCTGCATTGAGTCCGCAACTACCAGGCAAAATAGCAATCAGAAACTGGGGAGATGCAGTTCATGTGTGATTTTTTTTTTTTTTAACCCCTCTTATTTTAAAGTAAAAAGAGATGAGTAATTATTGAGATACAAACTAAGGTATCCACTGTGGTGGAGAAGGGTGGGAACACAAGAGGATCTGGAGGGGGAAGGAGTTTGTTGTTAATTTGATTTTTCTGCCATTTTACCTTTTCCAGCACTGTGAAGTGGGTGCATATGTGACATCCACAGCTTTTAAGTGAAATTGTTTTATCACTCTGCAATCTAGTGGAAAATAGACTCTGGCAGTGCAATGATGATGAAGCCAACCACAGAGGAAATAAAAGTAAATAAATACATAAGAGTCTTGATGTATTTGGAAATGATTCTATGGGAGAACAAAAAAATAAGCTTGCTATTAAGCCTTGTAAAAAAAAAAAAAAAAAAAGTTTTATGAAAAAGATAAAAATATTTTAGTAATTTTTGCTCCAAATCAGAGTAAGTCTTCATTTGTTCAAGTGTTTTTTGCATAATGTAGTTCTGCACATTTTCAGAGACTCTGCATGTTCATTTGTCTTGCCCGTTCTTTTGCTTTTTGTCTGCTGAGGGCAATAGAGGAAGAGGGGTTTATCTTCTTTGAGTTTTCTTCTTTGTCTTTTAACTTTTGTCACACACTTTCTTTTCCAGACTTTGAGATACTGCTATTTCTGCAGGAGGGGGGGTGGGGGGGAAGTTTGGGAAACTTCCCATAAGAAAAAAAAAAAAACCCAAGCCATAAATACTTCCAATCTCAAAGCCCTAGCCCCACCCTGTGGTATTCTGCTTTGTTCAGTGGTGTACTTCCTTGTGCATAAAGCACCATATAAATGAGATGAGCGACACTGAAATCCATTTAGTTTTCAATCCCAATAACACTAGGAAAGATGGTCATTAGAACCAGGAGCCATTTCTTTCTTGGAAGTGTTTATACAGAGATCCTTTTCCAAGCTCTTGTGTCAACACATCCCATCGTATATCACCTTTCCATTTTCCTTGGTGCCATGAGAAGTCCCACTGCCAGCTTTGGTGCTCTGCGGAGAGGATGCGGGGGACTTAGGAGTTCACGGTTGCCTGCATCATTCTGTAATGCAGTTGAGACACACTCAGACTCTTTGTGTTGCCTTCGTGGCTCATACACTTGTCCAAACAGCTTTTCTGAGTCTGCAGGTGTCGAGAAAGATGGGAATGTTTCGTTTGTGATGAATTATGTCATTATATATATGTAAAAGTTTTTTTTTTTCAGAAACACAACTAAATAATTTCATGAGTAATACATACTGGCAAGCTAAGAAGAATGAATGTTGTTCAATGGCAGCATAAATCCATCCTATTCTAGGCTGTCTTAGTCCCTCTTCCAAACATTCCTCCCATTGGTGTGCTCATTCTCCCTTCTCCTACCAGATGGTGGACACTATGGTTCAGGAGTGGAATGGGGCCTTCTCCTTTCCAGCAGCACTGAGCTGTAGGGTGAGCTCACTGCAACACACGGAACCATGCTGTAAAGGTGCGATTTAGCCATACAGCAAAGCTGATTTCACATCTAGCTGCTGCTAGAAAGTGAGGTCCCGCTTCTCTCCTCCAAACCCAAGAATGCAAATTTCAATTGCTCTGCTTCCAGCCTCTGCAGAGCAGCAAAAGAATGAACCATGTGGAAAAAAACCCCATGTATTTTTGTGCTAGCTTAGTTCTGTGATCTGGCACGCCATGAGCTCAGCCAAGCACCGGTGAAAGAGATGCAGCAGGAGGATTTGGCTGGAGCTAGTGTACAGGCTGCCTGTTTTGTGGCAGGGGTGATCTCTCTCCCTGCCCAGCTCCCCATCCTCTCCAGTAATACCCTACCTGACAGAGCAGGGGTCCCTGAAGCGTCCTACAGTGGGGCACGTTATAACAGCGACCTTGAAAGGAGCCCTGCTGGTCAAATGTTGCCCCTTGAGGTCATTATGTTTAATGACAGCCTAGAGCAGCATCTGCTCTGTAGCTGTAAGCACAACCACATATTTTCTTTCTCGGGAGTTCTGGTGTACGAAAAACTGGCTCATAGCCCCTGCCTCCTTGGTTCCTCTCAGAGGATTGCGCACAGTGCCTCGCCAGTCTGCCCATATCAAAGGTATGTTTGAGATCTACCGCTACTGAGCTTGTGGGTATTCGATTTGCTTGCTCCAATAACCACTAAATCTCCTCTGAGTCCTTGTTGCAAGCTTTCTCATGTCTGGTGGTAAGGGAGGGAACACTTTCCTCCGAGGGTGGTTCAGCACCTGGAGCGGCTGGGCAATTTCCAGCCTTGGAGATGTTCAGGAGTCACCTGGGCAAGGTGCTGAGCTGCCCCAGGTAGGTTTAGATTCAGCCCGGCTATGAGGAGGGGGGGTTGGACTCAAGACCTCCAGAGGTCCCTTCCCACCTATACCTTTCTGTGAAGCTAAACGGTTGCTCATTTGCTTTCACTGGCAGTGCAGCTTGTTTGGTTTTTTTACACAGTTGTTATCATTCATCAGACTGTTGCTTGATTTCAAATTTCAGAGATGGTGAAGGCAAAATAAGCCTTTAAAGGAAGTATCTTCTTTTTACTGCTGTGGGTATTTGCAGGATCTGGATTGCTCTTGAACTAATGAAGATCCCATTGTTTCCTCCCACTGTGGTACAGCTTGCCAGCACGCTAGCCAATTAACGTGTCTGAAAGTTTATTACAGAGTAAACCTGCAACATGAAAATAAGCAAAAATATTGTTACTGCAGCTCTGCCAGAGCCTCCTTGCCCTGCTTTACCAGCTCTGCATCCCTGTGGCTGCTCAAATGGCTACGCAGGTGAGAAGGGGGAACGTGAAAAAAAAGCTACTTAAATGCCACCTCTGTCACCTGGATATCTCGCATAGAAACCCTTTGGAAAACTAAGGTTGTGTATTAGATTTGCTTCCCAGGTAAGCAAAAATGTAGACTGCAGCAAGCAAAAAACTCTACAGCCCATGTGTCACAAAATACTCGGATGTGTTTTTATTACTGTGATTCAGCTGATTTCTGGAGAATAAAGACAAACAAGAATCAAAGTTCTAAGATCTGTTGAAGAGCAAGATCAAGATGCTTGCTCTTCAACAGACTTTCGAACCAGAGCAATGAGGTGGCTGGTTGTAGGACGATCAAAGCCGAAATAATCCCTGAGGGTGATACTGGCCACCCAACTGGTGCTTGGGTGGTATCTGTTGAATGGGGTGTTTCGCAAGACTTCTGTGCGAGCTATAAATGTAGGCACATGAGCCGCCTTTTGCAGACAGCAGCAGGGGACTGGAGGAAGCGCCATCAGCTCTCCCCATCTGAGAAGCTGACATCAAGGTGAGATGCACACTTTTTACATGAAAACTTTCAATGTCTGCTTGGGTAGCTACCATGAAATGCAGTTGAAGAGAAGAGGTTTAAGTGTTGGGATGAGAGCTGCAACATATATGTGAGGATCTGATGTCTGTATTTGCAGAAACTTAACACATCTTTTAGGTGATGAGAAGACAACTGCAGGATGAACATACCTTACAAAGGCAGAGGGTGAAGACAGCCAAATTCAAAGGGGTGAAAGTGAGAATGTTTTACAAATTAATCTTGGGCATAGGATCTTTATGTTGCGTCAGCAAAATTAACTGGCTTGTTATTATTATTACTTTTTCTATAGGCAGAAGGTCATTGTACTCAATCAATAAATTAAAGTTTGATTAACCACAGCCTCCATAAATTCAATTGTAACTGTGAAAAAATGCTTAAATGTTTTTAATCACATAGTGAGATTTTTTTTTTTTAAAGTGAGATTTAAGTGAGATTTGTTTTTTAATGTTGATTATGTTGTTCAGGTCTTGCAATTTTAGTCTGACTTTTAATCTTACTTGGTCAGATCTTCTCCCATCCCTTCCCAGAATCAACTAGAGTAACTGCTTCTTTCCCTCATATATATTTGCCCTGAAATCTAAAACTTTGCTTCGATGACTGTTATGTGATTTAGAAAGGGAGCTGTTATCTTAATTGGCCACTCATTTCCATTCCTGCAGCTGTTACTAATAAATGTGGTTCTTTATCTGATTCTAGACAACTTTGTGTGGAATTAGATATGAATATTTGTAACAGTGCTACAAACAGACATTTACAACCTGAAATTTAGTCTGACTCAAAGAGCTAATGCTTTGAACTTGATTGCTTCTCAGCTTATGTCAAGAACAGGAATATCTTGATTTCAATAGAATTTCATATAAAAAGAGAAATAAGGTACTTCAGTGAGTCTAAAAGTACAGTTCTGGCCTTAACAGAATAGATATTTTTCATATCTACAGTACAAAATGCATTTTCATTTAGAAATTAATTGAATGCCTCACTACTTCTTTACTTGTAATATTATGTGGATCATGAAATGTAGTCCAAACAACGAATGCCAATTTCTAAAATAATTCTCAAATGCAGTGTCAATTATTAACTGAAAGATGTATCATCAGTTATATATTTTATTTCATTATTATTTAGGATATACCAATAAGATGTTAAACTAAATGCTCAGATGTCCCTTGCACATATATATAAACCAACATACACAACTAAATAAAACTGGACAGTTTTAGTGTACATATCTCATTTTACTTTTTTCTTCCAAATTAAAATTTCTATGTCATGCCTTCACTCTTTTCCAGCTGCTGCTATGTTTATCCTCTGCTAAAAATGTTTTGCTTTTCCTTTTTTCCTTTTTTTTTCACCCTCTCCAGCATCTTGTGTCTGGTGTGAAAAGGCTTCTTACAAGCATTGCTTATTTTCTGTTTTCCTTTTCTGCAGGCTGTCATCCAGCTCCTACAGCAAGAAATCTGAACTACAGAAATCCTACTGAGATGGGAAAAATCATCATTTATGAGCATGCCAACTTCCAGGGTTACTCTAGGGAATTCACCAGTGACATTGCCAATCTAAAAGATGTAGATTGGAATGATTGTATCTCCTCAGTGAAAGTAATTGGCCAGCCTTGGGTGGCTTATGAGCACCTCAACTATACAGGCCAGTTACTGGTATTTGAGGAGGGAGACCATGGCTTTGTTGGTTCGCAGATGAATGACAAGATCACTTCTCTGAAGGTGATCACCGAAAATCTGCACAATCCCCAGATCACTCTCTATGAACATGCCCAATATCAAGGGAAGAGCAGGGTGATAAACACAGCAACCAATCTGGCTAGGGGACACGACAATGACATCATATCTTCTCACAAAGTCCAGAGAGGTGCCTGGCTGTTGTGTGAACACAGCGATGGAAGTGGTTTTCGTTACATTGCACGAGAACATGAACACCTTCCAAGTTACGAAGCAATCAGTTTCAATGACAAGCTTTCATTTCTGCGTCCCCTTCTCCCCGGCAAGAGCTGTTAGACTGCAAATCCTGCAACGCTGAGAGAAGATGCAGCCCCAGCAAGAAATCTGAGACCTAGATGTCTGCCTGTGCTTGTATTGCTTTTTTCCCCCTGTGTCACAGAAACACTGAATGGGAGAGCTCTCTTTCATGCTGCACTGCAGATCTGTATTTCTTGATCCTGCCTTGCACTGTTCTCTCTCCCCATAATTCCCACGAATGCAAGAACTATCGTATTTGGTCAAATGAAAGAAACTCAAGGATAAGAGACATGCCAGGGGTGTGTAACCTATTGCACCTGCAGCTGGCATTCCGATGTCCTGTACTATGTAACGTAAAGCATTGCATGTTGCTTCTGTTGCTAGATGCATAAACAAAATATGACCATATAACCAGCATCACTTACTTTGTTATTTGTTTTACAATGCTCTTGCTTTACCACGGCCTCTGCCATTTTTTGTATTCCATTTTGTATTGCTGCCATTAAAGAAGCTATTGAAAGCAACAATGGGTCTATTTTATGTATTGTTTGTGGTTTAATATAGATAAATATTGCCCTTTCATGATGAGATATCTCTCTGTATTTAAAGAATGGTTTACGCAGTCACTTGTGAACATTTTTCATGGATCTCTCCTGAAAGGTTTTATCTCCTTCTGTTCTCACTTGTCAGTAACATTGGGTTCAGGCTTAACTCAACCAGACTTAAAGTCTTGGTGAGCATGCCGAGTATTGCTGTGATCCAGGCCAAACTCTCACCTGGAGGCTTGACTTAATTATCACAAGATTGATCGTATCTCAAGGCATTGATCACACTAATGATATAGTCTTCTACTGGCCTCGATTATGTAATGAAACAAAGTTTTGATAAATTTGAATTGATTGCTTGATTGATCACAATAGGAAAACCTGTCTGATTTTTTTAAAACCTTTTTTATCTTGATATGAGATGAGGTATCATTTTGAAATCACAGTGTTTCAATCAGAATGGGAAAATCCCTTTCTTCTAAAGCTACCTTCATTGTAATTTTACATTGTAGTGGCGTTTTACCATTCTAACAATCTCGAGAGTCACCACATGGTATGGTCTACCATAGGCCAGACCTAAATGCTAGATCAGGTAGCTCAGGGCCCTCCAACACACCAAGCAGTGCCAGGGGTTATCACTGCTACAAGCATGCGAGGAATCCCAGCAGGCCCTTCTTCGTCCTTCACCAATTCCATGGGCATCACAGGACACAAACTAGATCTTTCATAGGGCAAAGAGGCAAATGGAGGATGAAGATGCAAGCTGCAAGAAGCGGCAAGCTACAGGAGAAGGGTTGCTGAAGCGCCTGTAGTTCAGATGCAAGCCCCAGTGCAGCCTGGAGAATGACCTACTGTTGAGCGTTCCTGCAGGATTGTGACTCTGTATGTTTACTCTTTGCCTCCAAAGCTACATTAAAAGCTACATGACAGAGTCAACTTCAAAATAATTGCATTTTGGAATATGAACTATGCAAGGCCTTCTTGCAGATGTGGGATCACTAGCTATTTCAAGAACTGTTTTGCCATGTACAAGTTTACCTGGAGAGCACACAGTTGCAGTTCTGCGTTATCGCTGGCTAACGGGAGCTGCACTCTCTGAGCCGTGTATTATGACAGCTGTCACGCAGCTCTGCATTGCAATGTTTATCTAGCTCTGTGCTGGGTTCCTGTTTGCCATGATTTTCTTGTATTTATAGCTAAAAATAAAGGCCAGAACATGCTGCGCTATCGCCTGCTGGGCTTTGTTCCCATTTTGAAACAAACACTGCAGACTGTGCCGACATATCGGCCACTTGTGTTCCTCTGCTAGGCTCATGTGGGCAGATGCAATGGTGATAGCTCAGGCTCCATGTGTTTTGGGACACTTCTTACTGCTTTGCAGCCAATTTCAGGTTTCCTTGCTCTAGTCACCAAAGATCTTCTTTTAATGGGATTTCAAAATTCAATTCAAAGAACGTGGAGCATTCTCCTTACTCTAGGCCAAAATAACTTGGTAACACTGAGCGCTCTCCAGATAAAGCCAGCTGTGTCCAAAGAAAGGAGATGATGGTGTATTGGGAGGGGGACAGCAAACACTGGTATGTTCAAATATGGGCTGCAGCAATGGTATCAGTGGGTATGCAGTATGCAGTGTTTTCAGAATTCTCAATAAGGTAAATTAGACAGTGCAGAGGTCTGTATTGTCACCATTAGACTTCTTCCAGAAGGCCCAAGCACAACGTTTTGTGCAATATACAACAAAGCTGCAAAACACCAATGCACATTATGTTTTTGTTCCCTGTATTAATGCAACTCTCCAAAATTAATACCTTTTGGAGTGGCAAATCAAGTGGCAAATGTAATCTTCTGCCCAAACCAATTTGTGGAAGAAATTATTTTGGAAGTCCTCTTGAATTGTCTTGGTCATGTCTGAGAGATCCCTTTCAGCATCTCAGCATAATAATGACATTACATAGGCACTGTTAATAGGAGAGAGATTATTTTGAATGTCTCTAATTATCTTTCCTAGGAAATACACTTAATGATACTTTGATATTTCCTTTGTGAAAAATGCCATTTCCTGAAGAAGAAAGAAGGTATTCTCTTATTTTCTTGGCATATATAATTGAAAGTTTATTTACAGCCAGGATGTCTCTGAATCAGATAATTGTTATCACTGAGTTTTCCCTCTGTTTCTCTTGGGCAAAGAAAAGATTACATTACCTCCCAAAGTTGATGTTACTCTGTGATTTTAACCAGCTCATATTCCTGTCTGTCTCTGGTTCTCCTAGTCACCAGAGAGGGGCTTTTCTTTATTTTGGGGGTGAGGGGTCTAGTTGCACTTGGGGTGCAGTGCACTGCAGACTAGCAGGCAATTTCTGCACTGCTCAGCTAGCAGTGCCCTTGAAATCATGTTCTCTGATCATCCTCACCCCTCACCCTTGCGGCAGGCTTTAAGAGGCATCTCAGGAGAACACAACACTCTCCCTGGCATTCCCTACTGTACTTCCCACGTGTGTCAGGGGTGGCATGCCAATGCTGGGGGCGAAATCGATAGCCCAGCTCAAGTGCATCTACACCAATGCACGCAGCATGGGCGGCAAACAGGAGGAGCTGGAAGCCATTGTACAGCGGGAGAGATATGACTTAGTCGCCATCACAGAAACATGGTGGGGTGACTCCCACGATTGGAGTGCTGCAATGGATGGCTATAAACTCTTCAGAAGGGACAGGCGAGGAAGGAGAGGCGGTAGGGTGGCCCTGTATGTTAGGGAGTGTTTCGACTGTATAGAGCTCAACGATTGTGATGATGATACGGTCGAGTGTTTATGCGTAAGGATGAGGGGGAAGGCCAACGAGGCAGATATCCTGCTGGGAGTCTGTTATAGACCACCCAACCAGGATGAAGGGGCGGATGAAGCA